AAAAAAAAAAAAAAAAAAGTGACTGGTGGGCATTCCCAGCAGCTTTGTCTGTAATTGCCCCCAACCGGGAACACCCCAGATGTCCTTCAGCTGGTGAATGGTTGAACAAATCATGGTCCATCCACACCGTGGAACACAACCCAGCAATAAAAAAGGAACAAACAGGTGTGATACACATAACCACCTAGATGGATCTCCAGGGCATTATGTGGACCCAGAGGAGGTTGCAGAAACAGTATGCTCAGCCATAAAAAGGAACAGAATTGGGTCATTTGTAGAGATGTGGATGAATCTAGAGACTGTCATACAGAGTGAAGTAAGTCAGAAAGAGAAAAACAAATACCGTATATTAACGCATATATGTGGAACCTAGAAAAATGGTACAGATGAACCGTTTTGCAGGGCAGAAACTGAGACACAGACGTAGAGAACAAACGTATGGACACCAAGGGGGGAAAGCAGCGGGGGGTGGTGGTGTGATGAATTGGGAGATTGGGATTGACGTGTATATACTAATATGTATAAAATGGATAACTAATAACCTGCTGTATAAAAAAAAAATTCAAAAATACAAAAAAAAAAGGAAACAATATGGCTACAAGTGTCCTTCGATGCATGAATGGATAAACAAAATGTGGTATATCCATATGACGGAACTGATATTTGTGCATCCATGTTCACTGCAGCATTATTCACAGTAGCCAAAACGTGGGAGCACCCAAAGTATCCATCAACAGATGAATGAACAAATAAAATATTGTATATTCATACAATGGAATGTTATTCAGCTTTAAAAAGAAATTCTTTTTTTTTTTTTTGGCCGCACCATGCAGCATGTGGGATCTTAGTTCCCCAACCAGGGATCAAACCCGTGCCCCCTGCATTGGGAGCATGGAGTCTTAATAACTGGACCACCAAGGAAGGGATTCGGACACATGCTACAACATGGATGAACCTGAAGGGCATTACGCTAAGTGTAATAAGCCAGACACAAAGCAACAAATACTGTATGATCCCACTTATACAAGGTCCCTAGAGTAGGCAAATTCTACTGATTCCGCAGGAGGTAGAATGGGGGTTGCCAGGAGCTGGGGAAGTGGGGAGTTAGTGTTTCATGGGGGCAGAGTTTCAGTTTGGGAAGATGAAAGAGTTCTGGAGATGGATGGTGGTGATGGTTGCCCGACCTTGTGAGTGTACTTAATGCCACTGAACTATATACACTTTAAAATGATTAAAGTGGTGGGAACTTCCCTGGTGGTCCAGTGATTAAGAATCCGCCTTCCAATGCAGGGGACGTGGGTTCAATCCCTGGTCAGGGAACTAAGATCCCACATGCCATGGGGCAACTAAGCCTGCACGCTGCAACTACAGAGCCCGTGCCACACTGAAAGATCCCGCGTGCCGCAACTAAGACCCAATGCAGACAAACATTTTTTTAAAAAAGATCATTTCCTTCAAAAAATAAATTAAATGATTAAAATGGTGAATTTTAGGTTATGTGTATTTTACCAAAATTAAAAACAAAACAGCACAGAGAGGCCCCCGTGCGCCCTCCCCGAGCACCCCCCGGTGGTAGCATGTTAGGTAACTGTAGTCCATTGGCAGCACCAGGCAACTGATATTGACACTGGTGCGATCCACAGGACCTCCTTGATTTTTATATCCTTGATCTTCCCGAGAGCCTCCACGTGCCTGGTGCTGGTGGGGAGAAGGAGCTGGTAGAAAGGGGGGTTCCTGAGGCTTCCCTGGTGGTCCAGTGGTTAAGACTTCGCGCTTCCACTGCAGGGGGTGGGGGTTCAATCCCTGGTTGGGGAAGTTCCACGTGACCTGTGGTGTGGCCAAAAAAAAAGGGGTTCCTGTGCTTCCGGTTCCCCCTCTAGCCCCTGGCACGAAGCTCTGCCCAGCATGGGGACTGATCCCTATTTGGGTGCACCGTCATCCGTGCAGCTTCTGAGACTTTGTACAGGGGCAGTAATGAGTAGAAAAATCCTCAGAGCTGTTGATTATTGAAGGCCCAAGGCTGAGTCTTTTTCTCTCCACAGGAAACGCTGCCAGAACCCAGTGCCCAGCAGGCCAGAAGCCAGCCTCAAGAGGAGTCCCCAGGGCTTGCCCTCCAGGAGACCAGGCACCCAAGAGACCAGACCCAGGCAGACAGCGCCTGCCCCGAGCCCAGTGGCCAAAACCCTGTGACGCCTATGCCTAGCAATGGGGATCTTCAGCCCTTGGCCTCCAGCATTGCCTCTCTGGAGTGGGGGACAGTGCCCTCGGCCTCAGAGAGGGCCAGCCAGGACCACCTGTCAAAGCATGGGACCAACGTGCCAGATGGTGGAAGCACGGAGGAGGATTGGGTTCCAGGTGATCATGGCCAGAAAGGGCACCTGCCAGGCAGTGATGCTGAAGAGGAGCCAGACCAAGGAGCCCCTCAGGAGGGAGGTGCCCGAGGGGAAGCAGGAGCTGAGCTGCCTGAGGAACGCCAGGAGGAAGAAGATGGCATCCTGGGCCCAGAGCCCAGATCTGTAGCCCAGGGCCCTCCTGGGCCTCTGCAGACGCCCAGCTGGACTGGCGGGGGAGCAGAGGGGAGCTATAGCAGCCCAAGGTGCTCCCGCCTTGGGGCTGTTGTCATCGCAGGTGTGAGCACAGACGCCATGGAGCCAGAACAGAGGGCTCTGGGGGTGGCTGGGCCAGACGGGACAATCAACGCCAGGGTGACTGCCTCTCCCAGTGGGAAGACTCCTGATGGAGGCCACAGCAGGGCCCTGCTCGGGTGCATGCCTCTCAATGGGGAGACCGCAGGAGGCAGAGAGGAGGCAAGGTGGGAAGACCAGCCCCCTGATGATGTCCCGGGGGGCCTTGCAGCCTCCCTGGCTCCGGCTCACGAGATCCAAGAGCCCACAATAGGTGCTGGGGATTCCAGCCCTTTAGCCTTGAAAATGGGTCCAGGTGTGGGTCAGACAGAGGTACCAGGCCCGGATCAAGAAGGGCTGGGAGGTATGTGCTTGCTGCCTTTGCTGTCGCAACCTGTGGCTAAAAAGGCAGCTGAGTTAGGGAACCATAGCCACAAACAAGACCTCAAGGGGCGCAGTTTGTCCCTCGGAGCCTGTGCTCCACCAGTGTACAGAGAAGCAGTGGACGGCCCTCCCCAGGATGCTGGGGCACGTCAGGGCAGCCCAGACGCCCACACAAGCCCAGCAGGCCAGCCTGAGCACCCTGATGACTCTTCAGAGCAGGCTGTCTGGGAGGGGTCCCCAGCCATGGAACTCTACTTCCTGCCAGACAGCCAGACACAGGATGCCCTGGAAGCCCCTGGTTTTGAAGCCCCACCTGAACAGGTAAGAGCTTCCTTGAGTTACAGCGAGATGTCCTAGTACAGGTGCCAAATGGCCACAAGCCCTCCCAAACCACCTGGTAGTGGGGGAAAGGTGGGCATGTGGCCTTCTGTTTGTACAGCAGATGAGTCCAGGGGTCTGAGTCACAGCTTCAGTGGCTGTGGAGTCTGTGATATTCTGGAAAGGATAGACCTGCCTTTCTATGAGGGGTCCATCTGTGTGAGAGCTGAAGAGCCCCGGGATGTGACACACATGTATTTTGTCAGCCCAGGGAGAGCCCCTGGTGCACCTGCCCCCTCCACCCTTCAGTGCCCTGCTCTGGCCGGAGGTTCCCGAGGGATGTATGGAGGGTGACCTAAAGAAGCCAGTGACCTCAAACCTGAGCCTGCGGGCGGGGACTTCATTCTCCCACTGGAAAGAACCTTTGCCCATCTTTAGGGTCATTTGGGGGCCCAGATACAATTCTTTTTCAGACACATGCATGGAATTTCATTTGTCTGCTGGAATTTTAGGAGCTTTGCTTCCTTCAGGGATCTGCCTGCTGAGCCTGTGCTGGCCGTTGGTGGTCACCTGTCAGGGCAGATGGCAGTCCCTGCTTTGGCCCCGCCCCTCAGGAAGCGCCACATCTCTGGCTGCTGGCGCACTTGAGCCTGAGCTAAGTGCTTTGCAGCCTCGCCCTGATAGGTAGGTGGTTCTCTTTCCACACACTGGGTGTGGCTGAGAGGCTGAAGAAGGTTGGGCACCTGCCCCAGATGAGGCAGCCAGGAGGGGAGGAGCCTGGGTCTGTGCCCAGGTTGGCCTGGTTCTGCAGCTGTGCCTCAACTGTTCCATCCTGGAACGAACGCAGAGCCCATGTCGCTTCACAAACATGGCCTCTGTTTCTTTGGCTGTCCCTGTTTTAAAACTTCATTTTTTTGATTGTTTGAAAATGTTTTTAAGATGTGAGAGTCTGCTCTATGCCAGGAGTGAACAGATCAGGCATGGTCCCTGCCCCCATGAGGTTTTCAGTAGCACCTTTCCCACCTGCCTCTCCCGGAGTGAGCATTTTGTACCCTGTCATTTCGGCACTTAAAAGAGTCTTATCATACGACACAGCCCCCAAACAAGCAAAGGATGTCATCTGGTGCCCAGCCGAAGAAAGCCAGCTGTTCCCACTGCAGAGGGGGATGTGACTGGGTTGAGCTAATGTGGGTCTCAGGTGCTGCCTTCCCAAGGGATGGCCAGGGGTCATTTGTGACACAGGCCTACCCAGTGATTTTTCAGACCCGACCTTCCCTGCCCCGGCCCCAATTCCTTGTACCACCCGTTGCACGTTGCTGTGATCACCAGGTGAGCAAGAGCACGGAAACTGAGTCACACCGCGGTTTGGTCATAGTGTTTAAACACGATCGCCGGGAGAGGTGGGCGCTCAGGTGCTGGGCAGAGCTGAAACTTTATAACTAAAGCTGCATCCCTTGAAAACTGCAAACCCCTCTCTTGGAAAGAAGAGCTAAGTCATCCCCAGTCTCTGGCTTCTTGGGCTGTGGCTGAGGGATAAGGCTGGGGAAGCAGTTGGGACCTTGGGTGGCGCCCAGAGGGCAAAGGAGCAAGCCCTCCCAGACCTGCCACCAGTGAGTGCACTCTGAAATCACCAAGGAGCTGGCAGCACCAGTGCGGGGGACCCAGCAGCAGCTGGGGTGGACAGCCCTGCTGGGAGAGGAGGCACTGCCCTGACAAGGCTGTGGGCGCCCAGGCATGTTTTGTTTTGACACTGGGCGTTCCTGAACAAGTCGGGGCAACCCAGGCACAGGTTCCCATGGGAAGATGCGGGCAGGCCCTGTGGGCAGGGACACATGGGAACAGCGCGCAGGTGGACCGAGAGAGCAGCCCTCGACCTCACTGTGGCACAGCTGTGAGCACCGCTTCAGAGGAGGGGCCCTGAGGTCTCACAGCAGTGACAGACTGGCTTCAAACCCAGCTGCCCTCACAGGAACGCTTGGTGTTTTCTTCTCATTGCGGCTCCCTGGGGACGTGGTGCTCACCCCAGGGCTGGTGGAGCCCTCCTCTGCCCACAAGCAGTGTCATTTAAAACACTGACTCCCAGGCCCCTCTCACAGCCCACAGGGGTGGTCCCCACACGTTCAATACAAGCACCGCCTTTGTCATGACATTTACACAACCCTGGTGGGAGCCGTGGTACCTGTTGGGAAAGAGACTATCCCTCATGAAGAATGGTGCCGTGAGTTGGGTGAATCTGTGGCATCAAATTGTATATTTTTTAAAATTTATTTTTGGCTGCTTTGGGTCTTTGTTGCAGTGCGCGGGCTTTCTCTAGTTGCGGCGAGGGTGGGCTACTCTTTGTTGCGGTGCACAGGCTTCTCATTGCAGTGGCTTCTCTTGTTGCGGAGCACAGGCTCTAGGCACGCAGGCTTCAGTAGTTGTGGCACGTGGGCTAAGTAGTTGTGGCACGCTTGCTCTAGAGCACAGGCTCAGTAGTTATGGCGCACGGGCTTAGTTGCTCCGCGGCATGTGGGATCTTCCCAGATCAGGACTCGAACCTGTGTCCCTGCATTGGCAGGCGGATTCTTAACCACTGTGCCACCAGGGAAGCCCTCAAATTGTATTTTAAGTCACAGAGTTGCCTCCGTGAAAGTCGGCCAGGTGCACGGGAGAAACTGTATCGTCTAGAGCAGGCTTCCCAACCTCGGTACTACTGGCGTTGGAGGCTGGATCACCATTCTGTGCGCAGCAGGGGCTTGAGCAGTGTCCCTCGCCTCCACCCCCAGGTGCCACAAGCGCCCTCTCCCCCGGGGAATGACAACCAAAAGTGGTTTTGGACACTTAAGTGTCTTGGAGGCAGAGTCATCCCCACGCGAGAGCTGCCGGGCTGCAGCCAGTTCCTCACGTCTGTTCCTTTGGATTCGGGGACACTTCGCAGGTCGAGCGCAAGCCCTTCACCCCATCCGCCACCCCAGGACTTTAGTGTCCTCAGAAAAGGCCCAACAGCCCTGGGCTGGCCGCTCCACTTCAGCCCCTTTGCCTCTTTTCAGAAGGACGTATGTCACCTCCACGACTGAGCCTGACTTTTCCATGAAAATTAAACCACCGTTGACATTTAGAAATTTAAGCTTCTCAGGGTCATCTGGCTCTCTCCCCTATTAATTATGAATTTTCCCTTCAAAATACATTTGCAAAATCTCTTCCTGACGTGAAACTTGTGGCCTATCTAGCCGACCTCTTTC